AGAAAAAATTAAATAACAAGGCGTATACTTCCACCTAATTTGATTAGTATTGATTATCAATTGTTTTTTTGCCTTCTCTGTTTGACTTTGACATCAGTAATTTTTACTCCTCTATAAATTAATACCTGGGCTTGTCATAAATCTTATGAAAGCTTGATTACACCAAACTACCTTGCTATATAATTAAACATGAGCCAAGCATATTGCTTTACAGTTTTAAAATGGCAACTCTGAATCCAGAAAAGGTTAATTAATAGTAGCTGACATTTCTAGCATACCTCCCAATTTGCTAACAATAAGGTACCCACAAACCATCACTTAACACAACATATCACAATATTAAACCAATTCATTTGTTCAAATTATAGTAGAGTCTGCAGAGTAATTGCTAAGTAAGTGCCGTTTACATGTTGTCTACTAAAATAAGTCATTACACAAGTTATAGGAGCATAGTGCTGTACCATTGGCACCATTGGTAACTGATCTATTGGGTTTTAAGCATCCAAAACATGGAGTAGTTAAGACCATCTGTCTGGGATTTATATAACAGATACTAGATGAGCACAAATGCATTTCAGGTGGTACAAACAAATCAAATTTATTTTAATGTAAGCCTGTACAAATCGATCCATCCAGGATTTACCTGTGGCCTGTGGAGTCTTATTCAATAAATAAGACTCCACAGGTGAATCCCGGATGGATCGATTTTTTAAGTTGTTGAGTAAAAGGAATTTGATTTTTTTGTACAACACAAAGTGCATTTGGGCACAAGAATATACTATGTAAACTAACCTTGATTATTCTATCCTTCAAATACTGGAGTGCTATTTTTTGTATGTTTGATCCCAGGTAGAAAGAAATGTCCCCTACCTTGATTTTTAAGCTTTAGCATGTACCTAACTTGATATCCTCTTACACTTGTTGAATATATGCCATTGTACAACCATCATTTTAGTTTTTCTGTTTATGATTCTTTTTCTTTTTTGGGCGGGGTTTCACATGTAAAGTAATTTCTGTATATTGTTCTATTCATATATTGGAACTGATAAGCATATATACATCGTTTATAATCCACCCAATGTGTCTGACATGATAAGAAAAAATGTTTTATTGTAAATCATACATGCAAAAAATCCATACAATAAAAAACCAAAACAATAAAGAGACAAAAAAAAAGCAAGGTGCTCTAGGCTCACAATTTTTGCCCAAGTGGAATCAACTGAATATTATTTCATATGTGACAGTTCACCTTTAACAAATTTAACAATGACCTTTGAAGACTATATGCAATGTGTTTTGAAAAATAAAAATATTTAAAACTGGAATATGGGTATTAAATTGTGCTTTTCTGGATGACAAATTTTATAATGTTATAAATTTACTGCAATGCAAGGGAAAGCAATATAGATTGATTTTTTTTTAAATATAACTGAGAGAGCCTGTATGTGATTTTTAAATATATCTATATTTATAAAACTCCAAGGAACAGTATATATATATATATATATATATATATATATATATATATTTATATATACATACAAACTGTCCCTTGGAGGTAATGACGTATCCGTATAGCTATCTAAAGTAAGTAATTAGTTGCGCTTTTTCCATTTTCAATATCCATCCAGGTTGATTATTTTTTATTAGCACCAGATTTAACTCTATACTGGCACAGCTTGGCATCATATTCAAATTTGAAACATGTCATGATTTTCTGTGGGCTGCCTGAGGAAATGCCTGCTGGAATAATTACAATATCTGGCTTCTCACCAACTGGTTGTGCAGTTGATGAACATTTGCTCCTACTTGCCTCTACTGCATAACATACTCCAAGTATAGGTTTTTGCATTGTTGATGGAGGTATAGTTCAAGAGAAATTGTAACCAACAGAAAAGCAGCAGTTCATGTTAAGTTGTTAAACTAAAAAAAAAAGAAATTCTGAAGGTCTGAAATAAATAAATTGCTAGATAGAATCAGAAAGCTTCAGCAAGACAAATAATTGTGGTCAATTCATTTTCATTACAATAAACAAGTGCTGAGATCAATTTTCTTCAAGAGATAGTGTATTCTACACGGTTAGGTATACACTCACCAAGAAGAAAAGTTGAATTGATGGCTTCTTGATTTATAGCGCTGTTTTCTAACACGTCAGAAAAACTACTTTTTCTATGAATTTCCTTAAATGCAGCCCTGCATACATGAGGAATACTTTAAAAACACTGGAATCTCTGGATCAAATATCACTCCTAGATAGTTAGAGATGGCAAATGGTATAATTGATAATATATTATCCAACATGTTTATTTAAAGAGTACAGAAAATCCATGGTTGATTAACTAAAATACAAATTGTGGTGAATTAAAAAATGAATTCATAATTGACTTAAAAACGGCTAATTTCAAAAAATATCCCACTCAGTTATAGAAATGTTATTTTCAATTCACTAACAGTCACCGTTAAGTAAACCACTTAGATTAAAAATTAAGTGTGCTTATTGGTAGTTTGCTTTTGTCTGTTTGTACTCTTTTCAGTTTTCTTGTAATTCTGTCTATTTTTTTTTCAAAAGGCATAGGAGGCGTAAAATAAAATACTATGGGGGTTACTCACTAAACAGTTATCTGTATGTAGCTGAAAATAGTACTGCAAATTTAGGCTGAGTTTGCAGTTTTTCCAAATCAGGTATTTTGGCTTAAATGTTAAATCGAGGCTTCCGATTCTCTACATCTCACTGTTTAGTGAATAAATCATTTTTCATCTAAGAGTGCTGACCTTCATGTAAAACAACTATAATATATGACATTTAAAAAAAAAATCTTCTGTAATTGGGCAATTATAGCATCTATTTCCTATGACATACTACACCCCAGAACATCTATCCTAGAACAAATCTAGAGAAATTTAAATGTTACATTCCTTGTAATATGTTTGGTAATAATACTATTGCATTCATCAAGTTGTCAAAAATAATGTAAGTCTGTTGCTTGTTATGAAATGTTGAGCTACCAAGATTTATTTGCTCTTTCTTGAAATAAAACTCTTATTATATATACTTAAATTAAAATATGCACTGCAAACATCAGGTTTGTAAGCCTGCTCCCTGTTTGTACTGGTGTAGAAATGACAAGATGGTAATAAAAGATAGTACATGCCAATCATCTCCCCCTCAAACATGTCATTCCACATCCTCTATGACAAACATCACTAAATGTTCATTCACCATAGAAGAAAACATCATTGTACAAGATCTGTGTATTCTGTCTACTTTCTCTGTATTGAAAATAAAAAGGAAATTTCAGGATGCACTGAACTAGCTGAGCATTCATTATCATGCCAACAATTCATAACAAAGTAGCAAGGATCTTTGCAGTCTTACTTGCTGCTTCTATAGCTCCTCGTACAATGGGGGATATATGTAGAATTAAAGAGATGTGCTTTCCAAAATTCATAAAGGATCAAATCATGTTGGTGTAACTCATTAAACAAAGAGTGCATTGTGCCCATGGTGATACACAAAATAAATGCTGTAATAGTTTAATATTAACTCTGCAAATAGCCAAACCTAATATGTATGCCCTCCAAAAAATCTATGTGTGCACACAAGATGTATGCTTACCCATGCCTGTCTAAAAACAAAATATTAATGGGGGAAAAAATACTTAAATAAGTGCATTTTAATCCAGGTCAGACCATATGGAGAGGATGGTGTAAGAGGCATTGCATGTCAGGATGAATGGGGTGTAGATTAGAAATTGTGTTGGGAAATTGAAGTTGAATGGAACACGCTCTCCTGTAATCAAGCAACCAAGACATCTAGTGAAGAAGAACGGTTACTATTGCTTTATAGCAAAACGGACAGCCCATTGTGTGCATCACTGTTTCCAGACATGGGATTAATTGCTAAATGTTCTTTACAACCCAGGTCTGATGTGTAGTCTGGCACACAAATGAACGGGAAGATCATTACTGACACTAGTGTGAACCGATGCTTCCTTCAGCAGATACGAATTATAACCCAGAAAGTCAATGCCAACAACCCATCCTTTTAAATTTACAATAAGCACCCCAAGTAACTGCAGTAAAACACATGCACAGTTATTTGCCATGTCAACGTCTGATAATGCTGCCTCTAAATCACACCTAAAGGCAATGCATAGAAATGAGATATTTTATTAATATTATTATATTAAATGCACACACAAACTTGGAAAAAAAATAGAAATGCATCAACATGTTACTTTAAATACATCTCAAATACGTAAGAGCAAGTAACCGTGTACATGCACAGAAATATACACAATGTGTAGAGTATATATATATTATACTGCTGCCCCTAAGACATGCACTCTGCAGGAACAAGCTACTGATTTTATTTATTCTGCATCAAATAGCCTTTCCCATTTAGAGCAGGCATTTAAAGTACTGTTTGGTCATAAGCCTCTCATTAATAGAAGCTCTGCAGCTTGCCCCCCATGTATATATGCAGTGAATAGATTGCTGACAGATGAAGGGGCAGGATTACCCTTTATCAGTATAACTTGTTTTGCTTCTTTTTTTTCTAAGCAGTATGTTTTAGTCTGATTGTGTTTCCAAACTCACTGTTTCTCTGTTTGCTAACAGAGGAACTGGCCATGGTGCTGTTTCCTGAGAAAAAAAAAAAAGAAACTAATCGCATGAAAGAACCAGACTGCTTTGCTTCTATCACCCCTTACCTTTTGAAAACGCTGCTGCCACGCTTAGAATGACAAGAGATGCAATGTGCAACATATTCCTGAAAGCAGATCTCTGCATCCTTGGATCCTGTATCAAGTTGCCACCAAACGACACTTAAAAAGAGAAATCAGCCAAATAAATCATTCAAAGCCATCTCGAAATCAGTGCAGACATCACATTCACAGAGCTCTCTGCTTTCCCTGATGGGTCCTTCTCATAGTTGTTGGGAATCTGTTCTTGCATATATAAATATTTTAATAATAATAAAAAAAAAAAACTATGTGCAACAACTTGCAGTTTAAAAGATGTGTTCTGAACGTCCTAAAAGCAGCTCCCACATCAAGTAGAGGGGAATAATAAATCCATGATGTAAAGCCTCTGGCTGCAAAACAAAGGCAGCGTGGTGTGCTGCTGATGCTATTACAACCTACAGCAGATGCAGCCTGCTCTTCCTCTGGCTGGGCTCTGAGTGGTGGAGTGTCGGCGTTGGGACAGATTAGTATAGAACACGTTGATGATACAAAGTTTCCCTTGCATGGTGCACAGCCCGTCATAAAACAGGGCAACAGGATCTTCCCACTGCAGGGGCGTCACTTGGACACAGACACTGGGCGGGCTCCTCTTGTGGCAGAGATGTGGCACTATTGAGTGCGAATTGCATTTACCCGCTGTTGGTCAGTAATGATGCCACCCTGCCCCTTAATGGTCTGTGGTTGAAAGAGAGAGGCTGGGGGAAAAGGGATTCAACACCAGCTGTCAGTCGTTTATCTCCTGTAATACACCATCACTGAGATATTAAGGGTAGCGATTACTGTACTGTTGCTTAGCTCTTTTCTTTAACCCTTGCAGTGACAGGGTGAACGATATGAGAGACCTCCCGGCACGCAAACTGTCAATATGCATTGCTGAATATGTAGGATGTAAAGATGGTTTTGTAAATAAATGCAAATAGACTTTTACTGTGGGAACTCGGATACTATGTATCTTAACTCAATGAATGTTAGTAAGACACTGTGTGTCAAACAAATGCAGCTTTGGCACAAATTGCTCTAGATGTACCCTCCTGGAAGGTGATCTGCCAGGAAATTAGATGGAAGGGTTACATTCATGTTCTCATTCCCAGGTCGTGTGGGAATGGTATTTTTGTAATGTAACAAGTAAGAGAGCAGTGATTGCATACCTTGGCATTGAGCTTGTCAACTACAGCTGCTCAGACAGTCTTTAGGTATTTATAGAATATTTTATCAGCTCACAAAGTGGTGTCCTGCAATTTCCATTCTATAGAAGAATATTGGTATTTTAATTTTATCCCAAAAATACAAATTGAGTGCAGTTTACTTTTAATTGAATAAATCCCAATACAGGTCTTTGCAGTAATACTATTCTAAATTACATATTCTACTAAGTGCTTAGCACGTCCCACCGTCTTCCCCATCTTTCCTTCGGTTCTAATCTCTTTATCACATTACCCTCTATTTGTTTTGCTCTCTAGTCTCAGTAACCCCATTTCCCTTGTCTCCAATCTCATTCCCCACAGATTATAGACATAGCTCCCCTCCCCCAATGTCATGGGCTCATATTTTCTCCGGTCTCTCTCCTCTACAGTTTTACATTTTTTTTTCTCAGTTGTAATTCTCGTTCCTTTATTTTCTCCTCCATTCATACAGATTCTTATATCTCCCTTTTCTAACCATCTGCATTTTTACTTATTTTATAATTCTCTTTTTATAAATTCCATTTGATCCTGATACTTCCTCCTCCCCCATCAATCCTGAGAATGCCATATGGCTAAGAAATGCATTATAATATTGGTTTTAGGTGACATTCTTGTTTGAGATACACATATGAGTGATGGGGTGATAGGCTGATGTAAGAGGTTATGAATGTGTGTGGGAGAAGGGACAGTTTATATGTAGATATATGTGTGACAGATTTAAAATAGGCAAAAACATCAATACATACATGCCCATGCTAACAGATACATACATACAAATAAAGCAATGCAAAGTTCTGAAATATTTGCAAATACAGGCCCATATATACATATACACCAACAAACACTTACAATATTATAGGTGGTGGCCATTTTCTTTTGATATGTTGTCATTCTTATAACTAGTAGACCTTTCTTTTTGATAGGTTGTCAGTCTCATAACTAGTGGCCATTTCGTTTTGATAGGTTTTCATTTTCATAACTAGTGGCCATTTCGTTTTGATAGGTTTTCATTTTCATAACTAGTGGCCATGTTGTCAGTCTCATACCTTTTTGATATGTTGTCAGTCTCATACCTTTCTCTCTCTACTTAGGATCAATTTCTCAACTTCTGATACCCAATAACAAAATGCTAATTTGTGTAATAGAAACCATTTTACTTGAAACCCATCAGATTTACGTTTTTCTTAACAAATGAATCAGTATTAATTTCATGTCAATACCTTGTTGAAATGCACTATATTACTAGAACTAGCCTGAGGCGACCAGAGGAGTGTCTAATCCATTGAATACATAATATATTGCTCATTCCTTTGGCCATCAAATGGCTATAATCAGCTGTTAGAGCCACTGGAACATACTTAGTGTTCATGTTTGATGCATGTGTGTCAGGGAGGAATATTAATGCAGAAAAGCTGTCTCAGTATGATAAAATACACTATTACTTTAGCATACCAATACATTTACTAGAAAAAAAAAGACATTTCAAGTATATCTAATTATTTTTAATTTGTTTTCTTTTATTAAATCTTTAGATCACTACAAGTAACTGACAAGTAAACAGGAACAAACATCTTCACTAATAAAACATTTTATAATTATGTAGTCAGAATATGAACTATGTTAACCTGTCAGAAAAAAGTAACCATTAATCACAATCGTACTATTTTAGAAAAAGTGCAGATTTAGTTGGCAAAATGATATAAACTACCTGAAGTGTTTTTTGTCTGAGCTACAGTTTAAAGTTAGTTTCATCTAGACACTATAACGTCTACAGTATGCTGTAGTTGTTATGATGTCTAGAGAATAGTTGGACAATTTACCTAGGTTCCACTGGGCACCCTTTTCCACCTTCTCAATAGGCAGTGCAGACAGGTGTTCATTGTCTAATGGAGCTCTGCTAACACACTCAGCCAATGAGCCAGCCATGCACGGCAGGACGTAGCAGGGTAAAGCTAATGAAAGCTCCTTACAGGAGCTTCTGGTTCTAGAGGAGGAGGTGACCAGTGCCCAGTGAACCCCAGGTAAGTTGCCAAAAATTATTCTCAAATGGTTTGTTTCACACACACACACACATATATATATATCTTTATATTAGAGGTATGAAAATAAAACTGAATGTAAAATCCACACAGCTGTAAGCTCTGGCCTGTGCACCTGGCAGTCAACATAAAGAACAACAACAAGCAGCCATGATGACTAAACTCATAAAGATCCCCTGAGGCAGCAAACATAGCCACCACTCCTACAAGTGACATACAAGCAACCCACAACTCTTAGCGTTGACCTACATTCTCCAAATTGCAGAATCCTGATTATATTAATTAGAGACAGGGCAGCTGCTCTGTCCAATTCAGAAATTCATCAAGGTTGAAGTGGAAAAGGTATGAGTATCCCTAAATACATGCATTAACTGGTCATTTTGAACATATAGTGAATAGCTTTATTACATATAATTCATCTGCATGTTCCCTTTAAAAAAATATTTTTTTTCCATCAACTCATGCAAGTATTTTAATATCTTATGACATAACTTTACCTAGCAATCGTGGTTTGAAAAAGTGCAAGTTAAAGGAACACTATAGGGTCAGGAATGCAAACATGTATTCCTTACCCTACAGTGTTAAAACCACCATTAACGTAGCTTGCCAGCCCTTAACTCCCTAAGAAGGGGTTAAACCAGGCCTCAATTCCAGTGCTGCGCGGGTCCACCATTGCTGGCCCTGCCAATGATCCGCTTCCTTGGTGACATGATCAGAATTTACTATTTTTAGCCAGTCTGATGTTTTTCCATAGGGAAAGCATTGCTTTGGCTGAAATCAGGGTGGGTGAGGGGCCAAAGGCCATTTTAGCTAATCAGCACCTCCTCATACAGATTAATTGAATCAATGCACCTCTATGAGAAAAATTCACTATCTCCATGCAGAGAGTGGAGATGCTGAACAGCAGTGCTGCCTACTGTGCAGCACTGCTCCAGGAAGCACCTCTAGTTGCTCTCTGAGGACTGGACACTGGAGGTGTACCTAGGGGACAATGTAAACACAGCCTTTTCTCTGAAAAGGTAGTGTTTGCATGAAAATGCCTGAAGGGAATGATTATACTCACCAGAACAACTACATTAAGCTGCAGTTGTTCTGGTTATTTTAGTGTCCCTTTAGTAAAGTGCAGGCTCAATTAACACAATTTAATTTATTTTTAAATAGGACAGGAATGAGTTACAGAAAACGTTGTTAACAATCACATTTCTCTTCCTATTATAACATTTCTGTGCTGAAATTTGGTTAAATCAAGTTTGTTAACCCATACAAATATTTTGGACAAACGGTAAAAATAAAAATGCCCTCACTATTTGAGGTGTTAATTTAGCTGTACAATCAGGTTTTTTTATTTTTTTTAAATATGAGGATTTTTAAAGATTTAAAACATACAGTTCTGAGCGCATTGGAAGTAGACAAAGCAGGTTTTAAAAGCTTATGGTTTCCATAAAGAAAACAATTACAAGAAATATAACATTACTGTGATGTTTTCATGATAATCCCATTTAAAATGTTACACGGTAGGTATTTTTGCAATTAGCACTTATTAGCAATTTTCTAATAATTATCCCCAAATGAAACCTTTTCTGAGAAGTAATAACAAAGACTGAGAAGTGATTTGTGAAAAGTGATGTTTATCTCATGGATGAATATTTACAGACATATGGGATCAATTATTTGTAGCAGAGATACTTAGGGTACCTTAGATGAGCTCTGCCACGCAACAAATCAATTACCCCAAAATAATTTAATGATTTTGCTCATAAGCATCAGAAGATTATAAATGTTTACTATCATATAATATAGCATATTAAAAAAGATATAATTTGGAAAACAGGATGCAATGTTTAAAGACCAATGTGTTCTTGGAGGCTGCTAGATACCTGGTTGTGCATAATTCTGATTCAGAAGGGGGCAATGTTCCAATATGATGCACTCTCGAGGTTGTTGATTGGTTGTAGTTTCATAGTGACATGGATGGCCGCCTCTTATTCACTCCATCTTCCTTCTCATTCCCCTTTCTATTTTTACTTCTACTCGCTCTCCCTTCTTCATTCTCACCCACCCATTCCCAACTTTTTACCCATTTACCTCCTATTCTATGCTTCTGCACTCCGATTTTCCATTTCCCAGTTCTCTCAGTCTTACCTTGTCTCTTTATTTATGTATTTCTTACTGCTTGGACTACACCTTCATTCTCTAACTCACACTTGTCTTCCTAGTACACCCACCCAATTTACTAGTAAGGATACCTTGGCCTGGATCCTGGGCCTGGTGGTTGGGTGATACCAAGACCAGTCATAGGTAAGGTGCAGTAAGGTGCAGTCATAGTACGCATACTGTTATTCTCCATAGTTCCACCCACTCCT